AAAAAAAAAAAAAAAGAGGTTAGAGTGGGAGAGAGCCAAAGCATAAGAGACTGTTGAGAACTGAGAGCAAACTGAGGGTTGATGGGGGGTGGGAGGGAGGAGAGGGTGGGTGATGGGTATTGAGGAGGGCACCTTTTGGGATGAGCACTGGGTGTTGTATGGAAACCAATTTGACAATAAATTTCATATATAAATTAAAAAAAATAAAAATAAAAAAATAAAATAAAATGGGAAAATTGAAAAAAAAAAAGATTTATCAAAAGATTGTCTATTAAGGTTTCCTATGATAAACAAAAATTGATAAATTTTGCTTTCATTTTTTTCCAGTAAAAAAATGGAATAAATCTTGCCCAAATCTTGGTAATGAAGTAGCCTAAAGCTACTAAAAGAACACTAGAAGAACATACCCCACAGGTATCAACAAAGTAATTTAATCTCAGCTACACAGGCTCTTGCATTTTCCCCCTACATATGTCACCTCCCTCCTACCTCCATATTAAAGTATGCTTTTTTTCCCCTCAGATATTCCCTGTGAAGTAGAGGGATCACAACTAAAAACAGATGAGACAATATTTTGAAAAATAAAATACTCCCTATACTCCTTTATGGAGTTTGAAGAGGAAAAAGGATCAGATCACTGGAACTTTTGTAAAAGGTAATTATGGACAGTAAGGTACAAATATACCAATTCTACCTTAAATTTTCTACTAAAAGAGATGGGTACAAAAATCATATATATAAATATACTGCCTAATCATCAGCAAGAGCAAAATAACAACACAAAGCTCATCCTTCTTCTATCTCAAGCCAAAATCAGGAATGAAATTAATGTTTCAGAATTTAACTGTTTATATCAAAGACAATGGGTATCTTAAACAACTTGTTTCACTATTTGAAGACAATGCTTGTTAGCCCATGAAGTGACATCAACAAATTACTTACTAGTTTATAGTAATCAATAATTAAGAGTTTCTTTATATCTGAATATTTATCATTGATCAATATTAATTTCATTAAGCTTTCAAACTAACCAAAAATACATTTTGCTACCCACCTTCCAATATGATATTTATGTCTAAAATGAAGACTTAATCAGCAACAAAAGAATCAATCATTAAAACCAATAGTTCAGGATGATCAGATCAAGAATTACACAACTTTTGGTACACTAAAAATACAGTTACCTATACTTTTTACAACTCCTATGTTTACAAGTATGTATTTCCAAAACTAAATTTATTTAAGATTTCACAATACTAAATTAATGATGCAAAGGAAAAAAAAAAAAACTTACTTGGCCATAAAACTATATCAGGAATTCGCTGAAATATTCCTTCCCTGAGCAAAAATATCTCATGAAGACAATGACCTGTTTTGTATTTAAAAAAGAACATGTTAAAAACATCTTAATTGATAAGAAATTTTAAAATTAAAAACACTGCTTATATAAAGTTGCTTACCATGAGCTCTAAATACTCGATCATCTGCTTCTTGTGAATATGAAATATTAGTTTCTTTAAGGTCATGAAGAAAATCTTCATTTACAATAGAAGGAGGTGTATCACTAGGATTTAAGGATGCCTAGAAAATAAAATTGGTTTCTTTGACTTATTTCTAGAAACATAACTTTTGAATACCTGATTAGAGACAGTGACCATAAAATGTAACTGAGACAAAAGCATGGAAAAGTAACAAATAACCCATACAGATATGAACTCTGTGACAATAACAAATTACAAATGGTCTGGTTAATCATACTCTGTATAAGTAATAGATGCCTTATGTTTCCTCTTTCACATCTTTGGCCCACCTTCTCATTATTTTTGAAGATTGCAATCAAGAACAAAGAAGATGGCAAAGTCTCAAATCTTCCATTTTAGATCAAGGAAACTGGGGAAAAGCTACTTAACTTTTGCATCATCTACATTTTCACCTGCAGATAAAATTGACCATTTCTTAGATTTCAATTACCATTCTAAAATGATCAACAAGAAACCTCGTCTATTTTTATAGAACTGCTTTAAAACTCACAACATAATTATAATTTGATACTTAGTTTCAACTAACAGGTAACCTGAAAAATAAATCTTCAACTTTAAAGCTATGTGACACTGGGCAAATCACCCAACTTCTCTGAGCCTTGGCTTCTTCATCTGTTAAGTGAGATTATCACCACTAAACTTATACAGCTACCATAAGGAATTAGAAAGGTCAAAAGATGGTAATTTTTGTGAAAAGCACCAAATACCATGCCTACGACAGAGAAAAGGCTGGCCAAATAAAATCTGCTATTAAAAAAAGCTATGATACAGTATCTGGAAAAGAGAAAATATAAGAATATGTAAAAGAGGCACCTGGGTGGCTCAGATGGTTAAGCAGCTGATTCCTGATTTCGGCTCAGGTCATGGTCTCGCAGTTCCTGAGATCAAGCCCCACCTTGATCTGTGCTGTCAGTGCAGAGCCTGCTTAGGATTCTCTCTCTCCCTCTCTCTCTGCCCCTCTCCTGCTATCTCTCTCTCTCTCTCTCTCTCCCTCCCTCTCAAAATAAACATTTGATAATAATATTTTATAATAACATTTAAAAGATGTGTAAAAAATACATATTTATGTAGTGTTAGTATCTTATTAAAGAGTCTGTATTTAATATCCAATTATATAAGAAATATTTATTGAGTGTGTGCTATATACTAGGCACTATTCTAGGCCTTGGGGATATAGCACTGAGATAATCAGGGAAAAAAATCCTTGGCCTCATGGAATTTACATTACAGTGAGAGGAAATGACCAGAGAACCCCAACAAAAGATACACTGTTATGATTTTATTAAGTTATTAAAAATTGAAAAGGGCTCAAAATCAGAAAAAAGTACATGGAAAACTGGTAAAATTTCTGAAAATGGTATACATATTACATAAATGTAAAAAAAGATAATTATAAACAGCCAAAAGAAAGAACTGAGGAAATAAAAAAGAAATCTTGTAAGAAAAGTTGAAAGAATTTGGTTTCAGAGGGGTAGGAATTAACTGTTCACATAATTTCTTTAGTAGAATGACATGTAACAGTGGATTTATAAATAAAGCAAACAAGTACTCACTAAATACCTATAGCCCTCAATAGCGTGTTGGATACAGCAGAGAATATAGCATAGAGGCACCTGGGTGGCTCAGGTGGTTAAGTGTCTGACTCTTGATTTTGGCTCAGGTCACAATCTCACAGCTGTGAGATTGAGCCCAACATTAGGCTCTGTGCTGACAGCACAGAGCCTGCTTGGGATTCTCTTTCCCTCTCTCCCCTCCCCATTCACACACATGTACACTCTCTCTCAAAATAAATAAAACAAACTTAAAAAAAAAAAAAAGAATACAGTGTAAGCCATAGTCCCTGCACTTATAGAACTTAAACCCAATTTAGAGGGACATGCAGAATACCATGCCATAGAAATAATAACAACAATAAATAATGAAAATCATAATAATATAGAGAAATGCTACTTCATTAGTTTGATATGAATACAGTTTAAAGTTTTTTAACCTCAACTACAGAAAAATGAAACTACATGAACAAACCAAAGTTCTCTATCACTCATACCTTAATCAAATTTTTACTTTGTAAGTCTTCTAAAATTCTGAATGTTTTGATATTAAAAGTAACATTACATTTTTATTTCAAATTATCCTGTATTAATCCTGGATTACTGTCAGTTCATTAAATATCCTAAAAATGATAGCAACTTATCCTTTTGTAGCAGTCCCTCACAGAATGCATTCATTTGCACTTCACTACCACCCTAAGAGACATAGAACAGACAGTTATTATTCTCACTTCTCAAATTAAGGTAACTGAGCCTCAGAGAACATAAAAAGTTTGCCAGGCAACTCTCAGATAAATTCTGAGATTAGGATCTATATCTGTGATGCTGAAAAGCCATCTCTAGAAAACCTAGCAAGGCCAATTAAACCAGTAAACTTCTTAACAAAAAAATTACAACAAATGCATTAAAGCAATTATAACAAATTACAAAGATAACTCTAACTGATTTAGGATTAAACACATGCACGTGCACACACACAGAGACACAACACAGAGTTAAGTATGCTAGTAATCATTCTTATTTCTTACTTTAGAGGTAGTTCTATGCTCCAGGCTTACTCCAAGGGTATTTTGGATCCAGTCTCTAAAAGTTGGTAAAGTCATGCCACTAAGAGGGTACCTAAGATTGCAAAGAAAATAAAACATTGGAGTAAGGTATCTTCATTTAAATTTAAATCTTAAAATTGGCTTCTAGTAATGGTCAAGTAGTTCCTACCAAAATGACCCTCTCACATATAACTATAAACTCTGGACAAAAAAAACAAAAACAAAACCCAACTCTGAAGGCAGTACAGACAGACAAAAACAGGCAATGGGGGATAAAGGGGTGTGATACATTTAGAAAAGTATACCTTCCAGATGTTTTTTATTTTTAAAACAAGTTTTAGCCTGAGGGACAGCCCCCGCTGGTGCCATAACAGGAAACAAAAATACAGAAAACCTCTAGTCTTCCTGCCTTGAAGAACCAGAAGGCAGTGTTTGCAGTGAACACAACAGCTGGGAAGAGTATAGAGAAATCACAGGGAAGGAGAGAGTCAGAGAGTGATGTATGCATAAACTTTCTCCAGATGTCTGACGTATGGAGCAGACTCGAGGCAGTCCAACTAAGTTTAAAAGAACCCAGCTGCTCACCACCACAAAAGGAAAGAAATGGGAATCTGAGGAACAGTCAAGTTAATTACTTGATGTTAAAAAAATAAAGCCTCTTCGGAAGAATATAATGGAATACAGAGTTTCTACAACATACCATTAACAATGTCCAAGATGTATTCCAAAGTTACTAGACAAAAGACAAACAAGAAAGTATGATCCATAATCAAGAAAAAGGGCAATTAATAGGGACTGACTCTAAGATGATCTAAGATACTGGAACTAGCACACAAGCATTTTAAAACAGCTATAACTATGTTAAAGGGCAAAAGGGAAACGATGTTCCCAGTGAGTAAAAGAAAAAATCTCAGCAGAGAAACAGAAACTATAAAAAGAACAAAATAGAAATTCTATAATTAAAACTCTTAAAAATTCATTGGAGGAACACAAGAGCAGATTGGAGATGTCAGTGAACTTACAGACAGAGCAATAAAACATATACAATCTGAAGAGCAAAGAAAAAGATTGAAAAAATAAACAGAGCTTCAAGGACCTATGGAACAATAGCAAAAGACTAACATACATAAAACATAACATATACATAACATACATATAGAGTCCTAAGCAAAAGAAAAAAAAGGGAAAGGAAATAAACAGTATTTGAAGAAATTAATGGCAGAAAGTTTCCAAATTTGATGAAAGACATAAATTTACAAATTCAAGAAGGCCAGAGAACACTGAGAAGATAAATGCCAAGAAACACACTACACACATCATGGTCAAATTCCAATATAAAGAGAGAGAAAGAGAAGGAGGATAAAAATGTTAAAAGCATCTAGAGAAAAATGACACATTACATACAGTGTAGTAACAATAAAAATTATGACCGGCTTCTCATCAAAAACAGTGAAATCCTGGAAATAATAAACAGCTGTAAGGAGGGGTTGCTGGGTGGCTCAGTAGGTTAAGCATCCGACTTTAGCTCAGGTCATGATTTCACGGTCTGTGAGTTCAAGCCCCGCGTCGGGCTCTGTGCTGACAGCTCGGAGCCTGGAGCCTGCTTCGGATTCTGTGTCTCCCTCTCTGACCCTCCCCCATTCATGCTCTGTCTCTCTCTGTCTCAAAAATAAACATTAAAAAAATTTTTTCTTGAAGAAAGAATAAAATAAAATAAAATAAAATAAAATAAAATAAAATAAAATAAAATAAAATAAAATTCTCAAATCAGTCTTTCTTTTTATATTATTACTTTTTGTTTCTTTCCAAGATTTCATTTGAATTCAAGCTAGTTAACATATTGCATAATATTGGTTTCAGGAGTAGAATTTAGTGATTCATCACTTACATATAACACCCAGTGCTCATCACAGGCACCCTCCTTAATGCCCATTACCCATTTAGCCCACCCCCTACCCACCTCCCCTCCAGCAACCCTCAGTTTGTTCTCTATAGTTAATAGTCTTATGGTTTGCCCCCTCTATGGTGTTTTTATTATTTCTTTTTTAAGAGAGAGAGCACACAAGCAGGGGTAGGGGCAGAGGAAGAGAGAGAATCCGAAGCAGTCTCCATGGTCAGCACCAAGCCTGACATGGAGCTCCATCCCACAACCCAAGGATCATGACCTAAGACGAATGAAAAGCTGGACACTCAACCTACTGACCCTCCAGGTACTCCCTTCTCTGTTTTTATCTCATTTTATTTTTCCTTCCCTTCCTCTATATTCATCTGTTTTTTAAAATATCAAATAGGAGTGAAATCATATGATATTTATCTTTCTCTGACTTATTTTGCTTAGTATAATACACTCTAGTTCCATCCACATTGTCGCAAACAGCAAGCCTTCGTTCTTTTTGATGGCTGAGTAATATTCCATCATATGTATGTATATGTGTATATACATATATACACACACCACATCTTTATCCATTCATCAATCAATAGATATTTGGGCTCTTTCCATAATTTGGCTGTTGTTGATAGTGCTGTTATAGACATTGGGGTGCATGTGCCCCCTTCCAATCAGTATTTTTGTATCCTTTGGATAAATACCTAGTAGTACAATTGCTGGGTCGTAGGGCAGTTCAATCTTTAACGTTCTGAGGAATCTCCACACTGTTTTCCAGAGTAGCTGTACAAGTTTGCATTCCCACCAACAGTGTAAGAGGGGTTCAAATAGTCTTTACATAAACATTAACAAAACAAAAATGACAGTGGAAAGGAGAAAAAATACATAAGGAACACATATGCTTTAACTAGTTAAGTTTCTTTTCATGCTAAAAAAAAATCACAAGTGCTAAAAATCAAACTGAACGGGTATGTTTGAAGTACTATAATATGTTTTCATAAATCTAAAGAAATTGGAATGGAAGAAAGTATAAGACTCATAGCTAAAACAACTAAAGATAGTCATTCAGCATATAAAATTTTCTTCATTTCAGCTGAGGTAACAGTACAAATTCTGGAAAGCTGGTTATAACAGATATGCCACCGCTATGTGTTAGTTATGTTCCCCAAAAAGACCAGTTTGGAACTATTAGGTTTTAATGCTGGATCTTTATATGTTAAATGTGCAATTAATTTGAGTCCCTGTAAAAGTTATTAGAACCTTGATTTTCATGACAGAATCAGACCTTTGTGAATTCCTTAATTAACAAATAACATTACCCATAAAATAAAAAGGTGACCACCTTCAAGATACTTGAATTAACAGATAGAGTTGGTGTTATTGTTTCGTGTAAAATTTAAAACTACATTCTACCACTAAGATAAACACAATATACTTCTACATCTGAATGCACAGTATTTCAGACTTTGAAGAAGTATCTTGCACAGAATATTCTATTTAAGATTTTGCTCCATTAACTACAAGTCCAGCACAAAACATACAAGAGATCCGTGTCAGAATGTAAATTTTTCAATTGTACTTTTTCTTGCATCTAATGCCCCAGGATTTGAAAAACAGTAAAAGAAACCTGACTTCATAATCATAAACCTAGCATACTGCCAAGGGTTCCAAAAATCTCACAAAAGATCATGAAGTAAAAATTAAAACTTTGAAATCAAAGAAGTAAATTGACTGAAAAGAAACATTATAAGAAAAGTTAAAGGAATCAGCAGTATTTAACTGAAGAAACAGCTATGGAACAATTTGATTATTACAGTAAAATAGTTTAGATATATATCTAGAATTATAAAAAGCATATAACATTCATATAAGACTGTACTGAGCACTGTAGGACACACAGAATTAATATTATAACTTCAGTTCTTAAGAAACTTACAATCTAGTTTAGTTAAAGCTACAAAGACACTTAATTGATAGGATGAATATATAGGCACAAAATAGGAAAATTTTGCCAGAAATGTGATAAAAGGAAAGCCAGGTGCCTGTACCAATTATTGAAACAGGTGACTCTTAAATGGATCTTTACTCATGGTTGAAGATTAGTTTGAAAACTTTATGAAATGGTTCTTGTTGGGGTACGTGGGTGGCTCAGTTGGTTAAACACCCAACTTCGACTCAGGTCATGATCTCGCGGCTTGTGAGTTCAAACCCTGCGTTGGGCTCCATGCTGACAGCTCAGAGCCTGAAAGCTGCTTCAGATTCTGTCTCCCTCTCTCTCTGCCCCTCCTCTGCTCATGCTCTCTCTCTCTCTCTCTCTCTCTCTCTCTCTGTTTCAAAAATAAACATTAAAAATAAAATTAAAAAAAAAAAGAAATAGTTCTTGTTGTAAAATATAAGGTGAGATCAACTCACCACCTTTCCTCAGGACAGAACTGACCTATATTGTAGAAGATATAGAACCAGGGGAAGCTTTTAAGACCAAAGAAATCACTGTGTGGAAAGAAAATTCTGTGAACATAAATATCGAAGAATGAAGTGCACATCAAGATTTACTGTGACTAAAGACAAAGTCCTCTCACTCTGCGGCAGTGCACAGAGGCAGCAAAATATTAGTACACACAACTATCTATCCCAGAGTAAGTTCCACAATTGCTAAGCAATTTAAAAGTCTTTTATAATCAGATAAAACTTTAATACCACTGAAAATATAAAGTACAACAAACCCAAACAAAGTCTCTCCATCTAAACACTAACTTGTGCTTTGTAAGCACCAATTAATGTATAATACCTTTAAAGTCCAAGAAAAATGACACTTTTCAAAAATTTTAGTTTGTAGAAAGCTACAGCATTAGCTCTGAAGTATTGCCTTCTGCTGATTAAACCCATGAGGACTCAATTCATCTATATCTAGAAGGAGTAAGAATAGCAAGATTATAAATCTAAGGATTTAGGGGTGCCTGGGTGGCTCAGTCAGTTAAGCCTCAGACTCTTGATTTTGGCTCAGGTCATGACCTTATGGTTAGTGAGTTCGAGTCCCGCATGGAGTTCTGTGCTAACAGCACAAAGCCTGCTTGGGATTTCCTCTCTCTCCCTCTCTCTCTGACCCCCCTGCCACATAAATAAATAAACTTAAAAAAAAAAAACAAAAAAAAAACCTAAGGATTTATAAACTGACAAATTACAAATATGTTCAAAAGATAAGACTGTGTTCAGGAAAAAACTTCTGATATTTCCCAAAGATCTAGAACAGCTTATAATAATTGCTTCTTTGGCTGGGTTTGAAATGTCAATGTTGCCCTCCCCAAACTACATACAATCAACCACATTTGCTTATAAAAATTTATTTGGATCAGAAATAATGGAAATGGAATCCCCATAAATTTTCATTAAAACTCACTCTTGGTTTCTGGCACCTAAGAATTCTTTTTCCCCAGCTCTGTTTTATTTCATTCTTGGGTATTTTATTCGTGTTTTCTATGCAGTTATAGAGAGCAAAGATTTGTTCAGTTCAAATCAGTATTTTCTTATAACTCATCCTTTCTAATCACAAATTCCATTTTCTCTTTGAAGAATATCACAACCTTCTTTTGCCTTCCATTAGAACAACAGCACTTTTTGTCACAGGGTAATTTTTTACACGATGACTAGCTTTACTGTGCTACTGTATAGGGGTAGAGAAGGCTACCATAAAGTGCTCCCAGAGTTTGGAGAGAAAACAAGATCAATACAATGAATGAGTATGGTTATCTGCAGAAGCACAATACAACAGAAACGGCACAAGAATGAAGCTTAAAAACATTTGGGTATCACTCACAACTTTCCACTGAGCAGGTGACCTCACGTAAGCTATTTAACCTCTCTCACCCTCAATCCCCTAATTATTTTTAAGAAAATATGACTACCCATCTTAGGGTTATTTTAAGATAATTCAGTAGCCATTCAATTAAGAAATAGCTATTATTATCTTTAAGAATGTTTTTAAATGTTTTCTGATACAATTCAGAGAAATCTACTAATTCAACCATTATCCCCAGGAAACTAGACTAGGTTAACAGAAAGCTATGATCCAATTCAATCCAGTTATTATCCTCTGTGGTAATGGTACTTCTGGCAGCACTAAAATGGGAACTGAATATTATTTAGTTATTGGCTTTAGTTATTAAATAGTTTATGTAGTACGTATTTAATCCTAGAGCATTTAAATTCCATTTCTGTATTTGGAGAGCTACCCTCCGGATGAGTCGTAGTGAGGAGCAAAGGCTACCTTCCACTAAAGCAAATGTACCTGATATCTACTTTACTGGTCTCCCTTCTAGGCTCTGCCAGTTGGATGCACCCCATTCTATTCCCCTTTCTCCCACTGGACCCAACTCAGGAGTTAATACAAAGAAATGAGGCCTTTAAGGAACTCATTCTGGTTAGAATGGCAGCAGCAGCAATCTTCCAAAGTCTCAAGCCAAACATATAAAATTCTCCGGTTCTATTACAACCTGGATAAAAATCTCTCTTAAGACCACTGAATCTCCTTTGCTCTTAATCTATGCTCTCTGAACAACATCTGAATTACAAATTTTGTATTCTATATATCTTAAAATCAGAAAGGGCATTAACAAGTGCTCTACACACTGAAAAAGGAATAATCTAACCATGAATAAATACACTGGGGTTCTAATGTTTTCAATGAGTGTACCATGAGTGTGACACATGTCAGACCTCTAAAACCTGATCCTCTCTGTGAAAACTGACAAATCAAGTGTCAGAACACCAGAAATAAGAACCAGATTCTGAACCCATGGCACTACGAAAATGTAATTACTTGAGATATTTTCTGTGACTCATCATTCATTTCAAACACATACGCTTCCAACACAAACCACTAAATGGCCTACAGTACCCTACAGAAGTAAGTGTCTAATGCTTTCAACAGCACTGTGCATAAGGGACTATTTGCCCCCTCCCATAAAATAAAGATGCTATTCTCTCAAGATCCAAAGAAAGGAAGAAATGAGGACAGTATCTGAAAGGAGAGGAAGTTGATTTTCTAAGTTCAGAAGATTTCTTTTCTCCTCAGAAGATTTGGCAAAACCAGCTTCTACACTGATAAGTTTCTGTATTAGACATTATTCTATTTAAAACGTGGGACGTTCAACATTTAGAACACTGGTAAATTTAATTTTAACCAGAAGTTCCTCCTACCCGAATTATACAATTTCTTAACTAAGCCTCCACCAATATGCTTCCCAGTCAAACTTAAAGATGGGAATGAGAATACGTATAATATTTATTTTTCCTATTAAAAATCAAGTGTCAAATGTACATTTCACACCTTCATTACAATTAGTTCCTAATTACTACTCCCGAGGTTTTGTTCAGTTACAAAGTATGTTCAAGTCAGAAAACTGGAATGATTATGTTGCAAAGAAAAAGAATTTCTCCAAAGGAATAAAACATTTCTCAGTAGTATTTCAATATATTGACATACCATGTAAGTTTTAAGAATATTAACCTAATCATATTAATCCCCAATAGATTTTAAGTCAAAACACAATCCTGGAACAGATTAAAAAAAAATCTGATCCTATTTTTTACCTACTCTCAATTTTTAATTTATAGAGCCAGCATTCAAATCTTACGTGTTTATACTCACTGTCCTTCCAAAACGATTTCAACAGACAAACCCAAAATACCAGCTTTGGCAGGATTGGTTCTTAAAATCAACTAAGAACTTACTTTACAATTCTGTCTGCATCTGGAACAGTAACAATACAAATATTCTTTAGAATTCTTATCAACACATTCCCAAAAACATTTCAGAAATGTGAAAGTTATCACACAAATGATTGTTCTTTCTTCACCACTTCTTCCCTAATGTGTCTCAGAAAATTAATTTTAAAAATACTATTTATACTCACAAAGACCTAAAATTGTTCACCATCCATAATAACCCACACCCAAAAGTAAATTCCCAGTCTTTTTAAAAAATTTTTTAAGTTTACTTATTTTGAGAGAGACAGAGACAGTGCAAGCGGGGGAGGGGCAGAGAGAGAGGGAGAGAGAGAATCCCAACCAGAGCTTGACATAAGGCTTGAACTCACAAAACCACGAGATCATGACCTGAGCTGAAACCAAGAGTCAGACACTTAACTGACTGAGCCACCCAGGTGCCCCTAAATTCCCAGTCTTAAACTGGGAGTTACTTTGAACAAGTCAGTGGCATGGAAATTGGGTGGTAGGATGATTATAGTCATTTTTGGGATCCTGATTCAAACTACCTACCTATAAAATGGCATTTTTTTAGATATCAGGGGAAATGTGGACTGGATAATCAGATATTATAAAAATTGTCTTATTTTGGGAAATATGATAATGATATTATTATGATTAGCTAATATTAGATCCTTACACTTTCAAAGGAGACATATGTAAATATTTAGAAGTGACACAACGGAATTTACTACCAAAAAAAGAAGGAGCAATTATGTCAAAATGTTGATAGCTTTATTTACTTTTTATTTTTTTAATGTTTATTTATTTTTGAGAAAGAGACAGACTGCAAGCAAGGGAGGGACAGAGAGAGGGAGACACAGAATCTGAAGCAGGCTCCAAGCTCTCAGCCATCAGCACAGAGCCCAATGTGCGGCTCAAACCCACAAATCATGAGATCATGACCTGAGCCGAAATCGGATGGTGTACCAGCCGAGCCACCCAGGCACCCCAAAATGTTGATAACTTTAAATCGAGGGAGGGTCATTATATTATCCTATGTATGTTATTTAACATGACATATATTTGTTATTTATGTTTAAAATTTTTTATAGAAAGAAAGAGGAAAAAAAGGAAAAGAATAAACCAACCAGTTACCTTTTCCCAGTCAACTCAACTTGGCCTTTCTTATTGAAGAAGAACTTGGAATCATTATATCCCCATCCATTCCATTTCATAACTTCTTGCCTAATAATAAAAAAAATCCATAAATTAGACTACATTAAATATCTCAAAACTGAATAGTATATCATTGATATTAACTTTCACAATCATTTAAAAGACCTGATCCCACTAACAGTATATCAGTTTAAATAGAATGAATATGCATCAAAATGTCCATGTATTAATATTTCAAATACAGAATCATTCTGATGAGCAGCACCTGCTTCACAAAGGGCAACAACTAAATTTAATGAATTCAAAGGAAAAAGAAGGAACAAGGGAGAAAAATATAATTAGAGTACAAATATGCTTCATGTTGTACATGTTATTAGTTTACATAATAGGACAGTCTAAAAAATTCTGCAATTAAAATAAAACTCACTTGAATAGGAAACAAATTTTTGCACATATTAGAAAAATCACAATTATTAATCTATGATGAAAAGATCAATTTACAGAATAAGTTCACTAGTAATGGCACTACTAGTAGTAGACACTTAATAAAGTATATAAAAAAATCTGAGATGTGTTTACAAACATTCTAAATCCTTCAATTTCCATGTAACCACCAATCTCTACCTTGACCTACATATTAATGTAACAGTTAATGACTATACCAGTTTTTAGTATTCCAAAACAATATGGTATTTTGAATTTCATTGTCTTAAAAAGCATTTTCATCCAAATCAATAATTGATTCAATTCTGAACATTACATAAGATCTGGACCTGTGCAGAACACAATAAGCAACCACACTGAAGTACTGAAGTACTCTGTCAGCATTTATTATTAATGCTGTGTTTTAGCATGGTGCCCTAGTATATCTGGGCAGTTATTTCAAAACTGATAACAAATCTTATTGCAAATTCAATTATGCAGTCTATGATGAAGAAAAGAAAACTCTTCTCTACACAGAAATTATTTGCTGCATTAAAATTTCAAAATAGGGGTGCCTGGGTGGTGGCTCAGTCCGTTAAGCGTCTGACTTCAGCTCAGGCCATGATCTCACGGTTCGTGGGTTTGAGTCCCACATCGGGCTCTGTGCTGACAGCTCAGAGCCTGGAGCTCAGATTTTGCTTCAGATTTTGTGTCCCTCTCTCTCTGCCTTTCCCTCACTTGCACTGTCTTTTTCTCTCTCTCAAAAATAAACAAAATAAATAAATAAACATTAAAAATGTTTTTTAATTAAAAAAAATAAAATTTCAAACTACATCACAAGAAAAAACCTGTAAATATGTGTGGTGATGGATGTTAACCAGACTTACTGTGGTGATAATTTTACAATATATACAGATTTTGAGTCATTATGTGGTATACCTGAAATTAATTACATGTCAATTATATCTCAGTTTTTTTTAATGTCAAAATAACAAAGATTTACTCATTAGAAAGCATTTTAATTCTCTATAATTCCCAAGGAAGAAGAAAATGACAACTGACAAGCAAATTTTTTATTACAATCATAATTCTTCATCCAATTCAAAGGCTTTTCAAACAAGTAGAACACCAACATAACAAAACTGAACCAAGTAAAGGTCATACATAAGATTAAGAAAATTAGAGACCAGGCATAATCTCATTAAAACTAAAGTTGCTATCAATAAAAACTATAGTCCCTATATAAAAACAAACTATTCAAAAATATCTCAAGAATATCAATCCAAAGACTGGATTTGTAGATGAGCCTGTTATGAACTGTTGCCCAATATTTTCTTCTAATTTCACATTCCTCATTGTAGAGGGAGGTTATGGAAGAAAGCTTTGGAAAAATCTCTACAGAAAAACCTCATGGCTAATATCACCACTAACATACCCATTTTCTTAAGATTACATTTTCTAAAAACTGAATAAGATATCATCTGCTTTACTTTTTTCATAATTCTCTTCACTTTTATGAAATATAATTCACTTAATATTTTATTATATTTCCATAATAATTTACATGAAGATGATATATATGTACATTTTAATTAACATCTTTAATGCTTTTTTGTAATTTCTGTAAACATTTATTTATTATTGAGAGACAGAGAGACACAGAGCGTGAGCAAGGGAGGGGTAGAGAGAGGGGAAGAACAGAATCTGAAGTAGGCTCCAGGCTCTGAGCTGTCAGCACAGAGCCCAACGTGGGGCTCGAGCTCACAAACTGCGAGATCATGACCTGAGCCGAAGTCAGCGGCCTAACCAACTGAGCCACCCAGGCACCCAAGTAATATCTTTAATGTTTTATAATATGTGCATAAATTTTCATTTCTGAAATGCATTTTAATACTGAATTTAAACATTTGTCATGAAGGCTGTATTCTATAAAACAACAGTTTGGTGTTACACAAAATAAATGCAAAAATACCAATATAGTTCTTTTGCTTTGGTATTACAATCAGTAGGCACTGGGAAATCATTCCAGTACAGATGTTAAATTTGGCATGTTTACATAACTTAACAATGAGAATCCTTTGCCTTAAAATTATGTGTAGAATTTTAAACAATTATTCCCATATGGCCTCAAAGTAAAAAGCAAAACCTGACTACATGTGTTCACTCTTGGCACTGCACAAGAAAAATGAATCAAGGGAAGCAGGAAATATCTGCTGCTGTGCACTCAAAAATGAAAAGATTTACATTCTGAAGAATCACTGGCCTTAAATTTTCAGTTGGGTAATATCCTAAAGAATTCCCAAGTTTTCAACTATAGGCTAAAGCTACTTTTTTCTCTCTTTTCGTCTCAATTAGAAAATTCTGCCCATGATATGGGCTTACCATATTTGTAACAACTTTTAGAGCCATCCCAGAAGTTGAAATGTAAGCATTTGGAATCCATTTGTACCCCCCACACTCCCAAAACAGTGTTCTGTTGCTTAAAATAGTATATATTTAAAATCTAGGTTACCTCAAAATCAATCTTCTGATATCTTCAAGTACCCCATGTGTTAAATAAAAAAGTAGGTGGGGATGGGGCTCCTGGGTGGCGCAGTCGGTTAAGCGTCCGACTTCAGCCAGGTCACGATCTCGCGGTCCGTGAGTTCGAGCCCCGCGTCAGGCTCTGGGCTGATGGCTCGGAGCCTGGAGCCTGTTTCCGATTCTGTGTCTCCCTCTCTCTCTGCCCCTACCCCATTCATGCTCTGTCTCTCTCCGTCCCAAAAATAAAAAAAAATAAAAAAAAAAGTAGGTGAATTTCCCGGGCTTCTGGTTTTAAACTTTTGTACACAGGTATCCCTTCAAATTACTAATATATTCTATGACCGTTAAACACAACTATGTGATTACATTAAACTTTCAAAATAACTTCTTATACAGAAAATATAATGAGTAACTTGAAGGGCATTATAGCATTAACATTTTAATTTTTTTTTCATCGTTTATTTATTTTTGGGACGGAGAGAGACAGAGCATGAATGGGGGAGGGGCAGAGAGAGAGGGAGACACAGAATCGGAAACAGGCTCCAGGCTCTGAGCCATCAGCCCAGAGCCCGACGCGGGGCTCGAACTCACTGACCGCGAGATCGTGACCTGGCTGAAGTCGGACGCTTACATTTTAAAAAAGTTAAAAGTGAAACCTCACACAATCACAGAATTCTAAAACTAAAAAAAAAGATCCTGAGAAATCACCTAGTTCAACTGCTCATTTTTCAAATGAAGAAACTTGTGCCCAGAGAAGCTCTCATGATTACACAGCTAAGCTAGTTGTAAGCATCAGAAAGTGAACACCCAGTCTTGTGACTCTTCCTCTTTAGAAAGGTAATGTCTTAAACCCACCAAATCATGCCCTCAAGTAACCAAAATGATTTAAAGGAACCCTTTTTCCTTGACATCAATATTTTTCAAAGCACTATTACATGTTATTATTATAGCCATTCTTCTGCACTTGATCTTAAGCGAAACATTTGAAAATCAAGGACTATGGTGACGTCAGGAACCCCAGTGCCCTCACTTCCTTTATGTATAGTATATAAATTCTGGCATTCAGAATAATGATCCCAAAACCATGGCAAGCACTAAAATGAGGAATGATCAAAGAAATATCAACATTCCATAAGATTCAATTAAAAAGATTCAATTTTCTACTGACCCCAAAGATCAATTAACCAGACTGATCCCTCAGACTTTCCAATTCTTAGAGCTAACTTTACACTAAATTTAAGGTCTTCAAAATATAAGACCCTTCCTCCTGCCAAGAAAAAAGATAAGTCCGTTTGATTTTGTTACACGAAAAAAATAAAACAAATGTTTTACCCATTTACATATCTGACCACAGTACCAAATGGTGAAGAAGCACTTTGTTTTAGCTGGCATAACAAAAGAAAATGGAGACATAATGTAGCATCATGTATACACAAGGTGGCAGTATTCTCCCATGATATATATATTATTTCCTAGTGCTGTGGTTTGCACAATTTTTAACTGAAGTATTTAGATTTAGCACTATTATTATGAAAACCAGAGATCTTTTCTTAAATTGGGAGATGTCCACTTTTAAGTCTCTATATACACATAGATTACTACTCCTCTAATACTAATAAATTTCAAGCATCCTGATATAAATGCATGGTTTCTACCACTGCTATTTCTAATTATACTTTTCACTAGAAAAAAAGGAAAAGGAAAACATGCTTTAACCTAATTTTATTTTGGCTCAGCAGTAAAAAACTCAGTTAAGTGATAACTAAAAAAAAAGAATTTTTTTCCATATAATTCCAATAATCAAAATTCTAATAAAAGATACTTAATTACTTAGTTCTGATGAAAATCAAATTTTTATCTATCATTTCTAATTCAAACAATGAGAAAAAGGTACTATGATCTCAGAGCTTTTAGAAAATAAAAACTGAAGTATGAAACTTAAGCCTCAATGCTGGATTTCTAACAAACCATGCTCAGCATCAGATAAATTCATATTAATCCCATATGTAGTACAAAATGTAGAAGTTAAAAATTAAAAAAACTTTCAGGATTTTTTTGTACTAATTAAAAATCCTTCCTATCAGGTTGTGTGCTTAATTACCTTAGGATCAAGATAACCTAAA